GACTTATTATCAGACCATTCAGCGGTTATTTTATCTCTCTCTAGACACATGTTTACTACCAACCACACACCTATACTAACTCCTGGGCCTTAATTGATAAATTTCATATACATTAATTGATTAAATTTAATTGACAATTACATTAAATACATTAATTGATAAATTGCATTCCATTATTAATAAGACAATTGATCTAAACACAAGATTAAAGACGGAAAATAATATTGACAATGCAGTAGAGACGCTTACTAAGACTGTTCAAACTGCCGCTTGGCAATCAGCTCACAAGTACGAGACCAACCGCGACAAACATTACTTACCCCCGGAAATACGATCACTTCTAATTGAAAAAAGGCGTGCTCTCAACCAATGGAAAAGATCTCGCTATCCCAGTGACAAACAACTACTAAACGCACTTTCTAACAAACTTAGAAAACTTATACAACAATACAAACAGGAAACTTACAAAAAACATCTGACCACCTTACAGACAAGTAACAATACTCTCTGGCAACAAACCCGAAAGATACTAGGATACCACCAAACAAAGACTCCTCTCCGTAAACCAGACAACTCATGGGCTAGAAGCGATAAAGAGAAAGCAGACTTATTTGCTACTCATCTTACAGACGTATTCCATCCACATGAAGACTTGCCTGACCAACAGCACTGCTCAGACGTCCAAAAAATCCTCATTTCTCCTCTTCACCTTTCTCTACCTCCTCCCCCTATAACTCCTTCGGACATAGAATTTTGTATTAAAAAATTACCTCGCGGAAAATCTCCTGGTTTTGACCTAATCACACCTAAAATTGTACGACTTCTACCCAAAAAAGCATTAATCTTTCTGACAGCTATTTACAATTCTATCTTTCGACTTACTTACTTTTCTCTAGTATGGAAATTGTCAATCATAAAAATGATACCGAAACCAAGCAAACCTTCTGACCAAGCCACGTCTTATAGGCCTATCAGTCTTTTACCCTTATTTTCCAAAATATTTGAAAAAATATTATTAAAACGGCTCTATCCATTTTTAGACAATGTTATTCCTAATCACCAATTTGGATTTAGACCTGCATACTCTACCATACAACAATGTCATAGAGTGATTGATACAATTGCTGTGGCATTGGAAAAGAAGGAATTTTCCACAACAGCTTTCTTAGACGTCTCACAGGCCTTTGATAAAGTGTGGCATGATGGTCTACTTTGTAAAATTAAACCGATCTTTCCGCATACATACTATTTAATCATCAGGTCGTATCTTGAGGATAGATTTTTATTGTTAACCAGGATGGTAAATACTCCGACTATTGCCGAATCGACGCGGGAGTACCGCAGGGCAGTGTTTTAGGTCCGGTTTAAAAAGAGATTAAACTATCGATTGTCACTACTAAGTCGAATGCTACACCATAAAAACAAACTATCACTTTATAACAAAATTACTATATACAACATGCTATTCAGACCAATATGGACGTATGCCTCTCAGGTGTGGGGTTCATGCAAAAAAACACATTTACGGACTATTCAAATTTTCCAATCAAAATTTCTCCGTTATATCACTCATTGTCCCTTCTACATAACCAACAAGTAACTGACGTAATTAAAAAATATTACAAAAATTTTCATGACTCCCTAGCTGGACATCCTAATCTACTTGTTCCTAATCCACAAACATTACTAACGGACACACTACCACAGAATCCACCAAGGAGACTCAAACACCTCTGGAACAGGGATCTGCTGCATTAAGAGTCACTTTAGGAGTGCCTTCACAGGGAGGTTTCTCCAATCACGCATTCACGCTAATCCAGAAGAGGAGGTTCGCTAACGAACATCACATTTACAAAATATGCCAAAAGGCATTTGTAAAATTGCTCAATAAATAAATTTATTATTATTATTATTATTATTATTATTATATAGTGTATTGTAATATTCTAAATATTTTGTTACCGGCATGCATTCATTCTATTTGCTGACGATATTAAAAAAGATATTTTTGTAGTTAAAGTGTATTCTATTGCCTAGAAACGAATATTTCAGCGTTTCTTTCATTTTATCGATATGGAAGAACATAACAAATTAAAATAAAAAGATATTAGAAATAAAGTCATTAAGTCCATCCATACTTTTATTTACAAGTGCCTGTGGGATATATTCCAAATTTAACTATATCCACAAATTTATTTTTTGAAATTGATTGATGAAACTGAATCATCTTAAATATAATGATGTCTATATGATTGCAATCTCTTAGATTAAAAATCATTAGCGTTTTGTTTATTACCTTTTCTGAATTTTTGCTTTTTAACAATTTTTTAAAATTGTAATTGCGTAATATGAGAGAAAAATAATTTAAATGTAACAAAATACTGTGGTTTGGATCGTTCTATTGTAATTGGAATATTCTATATATTTTATGACTGGCATGCATTAATTATATTCTTTGACGATATTTAAAAAGATATTTTTTCGTTCAAAGTATATTCTATTGTCTAGAAACGAATATTTCAGCGTTTTGTACATTTTACCTATATGAAAAGCATTTGTATTTTGTTTTTAATAATTCGTTTTGTTTTGTTTTGCATAAATTTGATGCAGTTTACCATACAGGTATTAGGATCGCGACTGGCGTACTGCGGTCAAACCCCATTCTTAGTCTCTGTTGTGATGTCGGTCGATATACCTTCTCTTTTGTTTAGAAGGAAAAACTGCCTATTAATTATATTTCAAAATTACTTTCCTGAAAGAATCATCCTACCTATAAATACTATAAATACACAAAACAGAAATTCAAAACCCACCTTGTATCCATAAATCTCCCAAAACAATGCTCCATCCATCCCAATTACGAAAAAGCAATACGTCATCCTACTAATATAAATCCGAATTCTCCTATTCCCTGCAAAGTATCAAAGAACCATTCTTAATTTATAATGACGGTTCAAAATCCGACGATGCTACAGCTTCTCCCTTTGTTATTCACAATTCGACACGTGAGATAAAATTTCATAAATTATGGAACTATACACCGCGGAACTTCATGCAATAGCCTCAGCTCTCCACTTCTGTATGTCGATAACTCCAAACACAATAGTTTTAATATTCGACTCTTGAAGTTCATTAAAATTTTTAAACGACATTTACTCGAAACATTCCGTTATCCTAAAAATTCGCAAATACCTCCATATTCTGGAAAATTTGGGAAAATCTATTTACTTTACATGAATTTCTAGTCACATGGGAATAGTTGGAAATGAGCTTGCAGATTTGGCAGCCAAAGAAGCTCTCGCGTTCCCTGGCCTGTGTACTGCTATCCTGTCACCTCCAGAAATGAGTTTTTCTCACAAAAAAGAAATATCAGACAACTGGCAGTCCATGTGGAATGAGTGCCTACCAAGCAAGTTGAAACTTATCAAAACATAAGTAAAGTCGTGGAGTATATCAAACCGTTCTAATCGTAGAGAAGTAAGATTATAAATTGTATTATACATATTATATTATAGTAATTATAAATTTGACTTATTTATACCTTAGACATAAACAACCGCCTCCAACACGTCAATACTGCAATAGCCATGTCTCTGTCAACCATATTTTTCAGGAATGCTCCTATTACACCATTAGCTTAAATAGATTATCTCTTAAATCAGTAGTTTCAGTTATATTAAATAATGCGGAATCAAATATAAACTTACTTAAAATCCATATTTTATTTTTAAAAATGTAGAAATGTATATAAATTTTTTTTGTAATATATACTTTATTTTTTTTTTCTTCCAAGTGTTTTCTGAGCTCCAGAGAACAAAAATAAAGAAGAAACAGGAGTTGATGACCCTAGGGTTTATGCCTCATAGCCCAAATAAGCAAACAAACAAAGTTTAACTTCATCTTTAGTTGTAAAACTATTTAGCTGTTCTTCCATCATCTTCGATGAAAACATTTTGTTTCAGATCTGGCACATTTTCCTGACTTTGAGGTATATTTGTTTGTTTGTCTTCTAACAGATTATCTTCAGATTTCTTTATATTCTTCTTCGCATTTCTTCATCTCTTGGCCTTTCTTATCATTTTTTACTTCTTTTTAATCGGCTGGAAGTACTTAAATTTTAGGAACTGTTATCCTATTAAGCGTATTTCATCTTTGATTCAGGTGAAATCTTGTATAAATTTTCATTTGATTTTTTTTTTTTTCAAATTTCTTATCTTCTTCCTCTTTTCTCAAATATTCAATTTCAAATAGTAACTATGGTTTTCTTGTTCGATTTTTCACTCCAATTTTCTCTGCATTTGCAAAAAAATAATTTTGTAAACTTGTACATCTGACCAGTGCATTATTTTTTAAAATATAATGACATTTACAGATATGGAAAGCTTAAGTAAAGAAATGTTTTATTGAATGGTTTTCCTACAATAACTTCGATTAAATATTTGTTTTCCATTAACCCTGCAATAAACATTTTTAGTTTTTAATGAGAAGACATTGATCTGTTTATTTTTATATTTCGCTGTGTTATTCAAAGCAACTTCTCTGTTTCTTGTAACACCGACTCCAATTGCTTGTTTCTAGTTTTCAGATTTCTCAAAATTTAATAATTTCATTTTGAAAACTTGTTCGAATGGCATTTTTACACTGAACATGTAAACGCCAATGGAATTTTTCGATTCTTTGGGCAAAATGAATTTTAACTTTCCACCGGAATATATAGCTTAGGTGTCTTCGTAGTGAGGAGAAAAACCTTTCCTTCTCTTCGGTAGCCAGGAAGCAAACGATTAGAAATAATTTACAAAACCATATGTTTTAAATTAAATTTGATTGTTACTATGTATATCGTATAGTTGTTAAAATATTTACATTGTGAATACGTATAAAGGCTCTTGTTATTCAACTTGAATTTTGGATTTATTTAGTGAAAATAGAATGGTACTTTTAATTTTGATATTATTGGAAATAAACGAACTTCTGAAATTGGAAAATATGATGTATCACTGATGGATCCAACGCCGTTTAGTACTAAATCAAGAAGAAATTTCAGGAACGTTGGAAATATCTGGAATGATTTCTCGACGATTCATCAACCTACAAGTAAGGTTGTCATTGAAAGAAATTTTCCTTTGCTGACTAACACTCGACGATGGTTTTCGCACCCGTACTTTCGAAAGAAAATCGAGCCTACTGTTGACCAGTTGGGCAACCTGACTAGGCCAAAATTCCAATCGAAAAAAATAGTTTATGGCAGCTGCCCTTGGGTGTTTCCTAACAAATGCTATGACTCCAGGCCTATAATGGCGTTGCATGAGGAAATCAACGACTTTTACAACTACATGTCTCCCACTCCTCAAGAACACGCTGCACGCAAAGCAGTTATTCGGAACATTGAAGCGGTCATAATCGAGTTGTGGCCATCCGCGAGGGTCCAAGTGATCGGTTCGTTCCGGACCGGTCTCTACCTTCCGAGTAGTGATATTAACTTGTTAGTGATCGGCAACTGGTCTCGATTTCCTCTGAATACTCTAAAGCATGTGATGGCGAAAAAGGGAGTTTGTATTGAAAAATTCATAAGCGTATTCGAAAGCACCCGCGGACCAGTACTGAAACTGCGAGACAAATTGTTTGACTTTGAAATACAAATATCCTTCAATGAAAGTAATGGACCGCAGGTTTCAGAACTCATCAAAGAATACAAGGCCAAATATCCTATTTTAGGGAAGCTAGCGCTCGTTCTGAAACAATTCTTGTACCAGAGAGGTCTTCATGAAGTCCTCTTTGGTGGCCTATCTTATTACGGTCTCATAATGATGATCGTGTCTTTTCTTCAACTACATCCAAGACCGAATGATGCAATGTCTTCTAATGCCAACCTTGGTGTTATGCTTATAGAGTTCTTCGAGCTTTATGGTCGCAGGTTCAACTATTCCGTAACAGCCCTAAAGACTAAGAAAGGAGGCAGCTACTCTCCAAAGAATGAGCTGGCTGTCCATACGAGTAGTGTAGAACACTCATCAATGCTTTGTATCGAAGATCCTCTGAATAGTTTCATAGACTTGGGTCATGGCTTCTTCAGGGCTCTCCATGCCAGACAGGCTTTTGCACTTGCCTTTGCAACATTGAATATGGTGATGAACGGCTTCTGTGACGATGACGACTCACGTCCGCAAGGGAGTATTCTTGGCACGATCATCAGGGTGTCCCCTGCCGTTATCAGACAGAGGCAGGAAGTCAGTAACAATTTTTTAGTAATTACTTCAGCAATTAAAGGATTGGATGTAAACAGTGCTTCAGTCTGATATCTTTTACGATTATCATAAAATTTTAATGTGGAAGGAGATCGATATAAGATGGTGAACTATTTGAATATGAGTGACTTTGATTAAAATCTTGAAACTAATTAAACTTAATTTGTAAGTACCTAATTTTTTGTAATATTTTTTGTCGTCTCTCCACCAAAAAGTCATTAGTGTCAAGATAAAATCTATGTTTTCACCTATAATAATCTTTTCTCTTTATGAAACTAAACAATACACAGTGAATAGTAAATATCTCTTCGTTTATTTGTAATATTACTGATTAATCTTTTAGTTCCTCTAAATTTTGTCAAAAAAATTTACAATATTTATTTCCCATATTCTCCATTAGCATCTAATCTTCCCTGTGTTAAGTCGAACAATAGCCAATGTTCCATTCTATATAAGCAACCATACTCTATATTATGACCTTAATTTAAAATTCCTTTTAAACCTTATCCCATAAAAATTCTTCTGTGTGATATAAAAATAAAAGTTCGACTGTTTTTGAAAGATAACATTCTATTTCATATTTTTTTCCTGTTCTCTCCTACCTCGCCTTTTCGTTTAGACTGTTTTTTTTGTTTTTGTTTTTTTCGGACCATGGTTGAGACTGGGAGATTAATTCCTGAGTTAAACGCTCTAGGCACCTGGATGCGAACTCATAATCTTTAGGTACAAATAATAACATATGTACTCATCATCCCCATCCTTTAGCACAATCCTTATTTACAATCCTTATTATAATCCTCCCAATCATCCTCGAAAGTTTTAAGGGCAGTGGTTCCTAAACTTCTTAAACCTGTTTATATTGGAGTTTCGGTAATGTAACGGGTGTTTGTACAGCTAGCTCTGGCTCAGTCACAACTGACTTATAATATCTGGGAGAAATGTTAAGATCACCCGGCATCCTGGATTTCATCCGCAGAAAGTAGGAAAAGCTAAACACTCCTGCCTGATTCTAAACAATGTATGTAATTATGCCTTTTTTTTGGTTGTTTATTTGACTAAGTTTTTTTGTCTATTTATTATATTTCTATTATTTTCAGTTCTTTATTGTGATGCCTGGTTGACTTGGGAAGTTTGATTTTTCTCATCCTTATGCGCAAATTTTAGGTATTAGTCCTACTGCGCACAGGTTTGAGAAATATTACTGAATATGTACGAATATGAACTTCTTTTGTTACATGAAATATTATCAGGAAACATAAAATGTTTCATGACAAAGTTGACAATCTCAAATTACAGACTTTTTTGAGATTCAGCGTAAGAGATATAATTTTATGTTTTACTATAATTAATAAATCCTGTTTAAACCATCTCTCTGAGCATATGGTAGAAAATCGATGAACAAATGCCGTTAAATCCCTATGGTCTTCAAGAATTTGTATTTTAACAAAATAATTGAATGCTTTAACCTAGTGTTTATGTTAATTAATTTAAGTGATATTTGATAGGGCACACACCTAATGGCTGAGAAGTATAGAACTCGGAATATAGAGCGGAGATAAAAAGCATTTCAAACCGATGGCATCATTGCCTCCTTATTCAGTAATTAGTCGACTGTAATGAAGGACATACCAATCCCTCTATTTCAATTTCTTACTCTGTTTATCTTACGTTTGGCCATAGATTTAATAATACTTGGTGACAATTAAAGCAAAGTAAAAGTTCCTCGTTCTTTCTCTACTCAGCAATGCTTATTAATTAAACAAACATTTAATATGCCAACTAAATGCAATGCATGTAATTATTTATTACTTTCACTTACCTATATATGTAATATATAATAATGAAAATTATTGCGATCGTGAAAATGTTTTAATCTGAGTTAAACGGAAATACACTTTTGGAAGTCCCCTGAGTACAAATAACCAAGTCCCGCAAAATGGTCTGTGTGTCTGTGTAGAGTCTAGCTCAAAAACGAAAACTGATATTTTGTATTTAAGAAAGGTATATATATGCCTTAGATGTCACAGTAACTTCTCCCTTAAAATCGGCTAACCGGAAATGCCACTTTATGTTAACAGTGAAACACATTTTTAGAATTTTCTCAAAAACGGTTTCTAACGAATTTGATTAGACTCGGTAATTAAGTGGTGAATTTTGAAAGAATATAAATAAAGAAAAATGCTTATCCCGGTTGAAAATGAATCCTCGGAAATAACCGTCAGAAGGTATACGTATCGTTGGAAAGCGAATAATTTTAGAAAAAATAATATCAAATAGATATTAGATAAATAGAAGTAGAAAGAAATGGAGATTAACGAAAAAAATATAGATAATAATTACAGAAAACTATCATTATTTAACGTAAATCACATGTATCCAAGGAAATTAAATGAAATTTTATTACTGAATGTAAAAGTTTTTCTAAGTTAAAAAAAACTGTACCCAATCCTAGATTCTAATCACATAATCCCAGATCACCAGTTTGGATTCCGCAGATCCCATTCCACTATCCAGCAATGCCATCGTGTGGTGGATGTTGTCTCCTCTGCATTAGAGCGCGGAATGTACTGCACGGGAGTCTTTCTCGATGTAGAACAGGCTTTTGATCGAGTCTGGCACCCGGGATTACTTTACAAACTCCGTAAATTCCTACATCCTACATACTTCCTCATTATCCGTTCCTATCTAACTGATAGATACTCAAAAGTCAATCACAATAATGCTTATTCATCCCTCTTTTCCCAGTCCGCTGGTGTTCCTCAAGGTAGTATCCTTGGTCCTATCATTTACACAGTTTATACAGCTGACATCCCAACCCATCCTAACACTGTTATTACCACGTATGCCGATGATACATGTGTCCTATCCGTTAATAATGACCCAACCATTGCATCCCAAACTCGTCAATCGCACATCACAAGCCTTGAAGAATGGTGTAAAAATTGGAGGATTAAAATAAATTCTAATAAATCCCATCAAATCACCTTTACCCTTCGACGTAAACCTATGACCTCATGTCCCACAGTATCCTTTAATAATACCTCACTTATCCCTGTTGAACAAATCCGATACCTTGGACTTCAATTGGACAAACGTCTAACTTGGAATCATCATACCAGACTGAAACGACAAGAAACCGCTCGACGTTTCCGACTACTACAACACTTACTAGACAAACGCTCTAAGCTTCCAGTAAATTACAAACGACTTATATACATGACTACAATAAGACCTACTTGGACTTACGGAGTTGAGCTTTGGGGCTCCACTAAGCCATCAAATTCCTCTCGTATCCAATCCTTACAATCCAAAATCCTTCGGAAAATCCTCACTGCTCCTTACTTTGTCACCAATAAAATAATCCATAATGACCTTAATGTTCCTTATGTTTCCGATTTGGCCCAATCCAGATACCAATCTTTCCATAATAAACTTCAGAACCATCCGAATCCTCTCGTCTCTAACCTTGCTTCCTCTTCTATTCCTGATAACCCTCCGAGGTGTCTTAAAAGAAGATGGCCTCGAGATCTCTTATTGTAAATACATTTTGTTTTTAGAGTGCTACCAGTGGGTAGTTTCTCAACAAGTCATTTCATGTTTTTATTTTCTGTTATCAAATTTACTTAATGTATTTAATTTTTTAATACAGTTGTAAATATCATGTATAAATTAATAAAAAAATAAATAAAAAGTTAAAAAAAAAAGTATTTAAAATCCATCGAATCAAGCCAATGTCATTCTTTAAAATACTATTTCATTGTACTTGTGTGATAGAAGAAGTGAAATATAACAATATTTCATGGATATGTTTTTAACCTTAAATACTTTTTCTGTAATTTAATAACTCTAGATATGATATTATATTTAAATAATTAGGTGTCTATTGGCCATTTATTCCAAAAAGTCATCAAGTAATCTTTTAGAAAATTAAATTATTGAATAATTTGATGATTAAATACTTACATATACAATACATCCAAGTCTCTCTTGGAATATATGAGCCTTCCGGTTGACAGAATGACTAACTCCGATTTCAATATTCTTTATTATTAATTTTAGTGATGTATCTAGTGGCAAAATTTATACCTTTATTTCACAATTCTATATTTCAACACTGCAATCACCTACTTTGGAATCAACTTACTCACTGCCTGTCTATATATATCACTAAAATGGTATTGCACAAAAAAATTGAAATTGGAGTTAGTCATTGTTTCAACTAAAAGACTCAGAGACTGAAGTTGTGTGGTATATAAAAGTAGATGGAGTAACTACATTTTTATAGCCTACTGTCGATATAATAAAAAGACTTTTTGTGATTTTAATGGTCTTAATAATTTTTTATCCGTAAGTTTTAAGCTTTAGCTCGGTTTAAAGTATACTTCAAACATTTTATAATAGCCCAACATTGACAGAATAAATCTATTCAAAGTAGAGTGGTAAGTAAACGGTGTGTGTTGCGCGCACGAGATTTTTTTTATTAAAAATAACTACAGTATAGTAGGCTACTTGCATGTAGTGTTGTTATCTAAGCAAGAAGTTTAAATAATGGTCCCATAAGTGATCGTAAAATTTGAATTATCCATAAGTCGGTCATTTGGTTGTTCATTAGATTTAAGTGGGCTTACGTGAATTTTCAAAATTTGCTATATAGTGATATTAAATTTATAACCTTACGTTTAGATTTTGGTTTATTATTTTCAATAATGAAACATTGTGATCGACCAAAAAATTCAAAAACATAACCTCCTCTCAAAATTTGAGGTTTCACGTTTCAAGACGCGTAGAATTCGAAAAACGGATAAAAAAATGTTTGGCCGTCCACCGTCCGCCATACGCCGTACTACTGGACCGTTTTTTTTTCTAATTTTGATATAAAATCAGAGGTCACCCGAGGATGATCCTCCTTCATTGACGCTACTCCCCGCCTTTAATTTTCAAAATTGCGGCCAAAAAACCTGCGTTGCTATAGACTGTAGCTCCTGAATGAATGTACAGATTTCAATGAAACTTCGCTAAAGTCATTTTCTCGACGCCTTTTAAATTTATCT